TTTACTGATATTATATTTTTGTATTAAATCAAGATTGACTAATACTAAATACCTATACATTTCTATTAATAGGATAACATAGCTGGACCAAAAGAAAGGGGTAAACATCTCTAAAGCTTGTCTCTATAAACTAATTGTTAGATGTTGACAGTTAAAATCATTTTTTTTTAAATCACACACAGTACTCGACTGCATTCCTAAGTACTTCGATTACAAAAAGATTTAATTTCACTAAATGACATAAATTGTAAATTACACTGATCTCACATAAATTTGCCATTGGCATTGCTATTTGTGAGCATGCCATTGTCTTGGTCATTGATCCTTGGAATATCCAGGTCAGTAGCACTGCTGGGCACATATCAAATACCAATTTATTGTATAAACCAAGGACTGCATTTGCATTGCACAAGGACTCCAGAATGTGGCATGCATAATGTCTCTTTTCACACTCCATGCCTGTAACAGTCAAACAATTACAGAAAAATGAATGTCCTGGCTATCATTTTTAGGATCAGTGCTCCAACAGCCCAAATACTGAGAATATTAGACCCTGGGTGTCAGCATCATTATTCTTTCTACTTTGACTGTCTTATTTAGTGGCAACAATTTCTGCAACATAGAGAAAAAATGTGGACATACAGGGAATCAAACAATAACATTAAAATCAATACAAATGTGTACAAAAAATATTAGAGAAATGTTCCCAATAATTGTATGTAAAAAGAGATTACACCCGTAAGAGAGATTTGAATGCATTAGTTGTGTTGTAGTTTAGTGATAGGATAAATCAAGAAAAATTTGTAGTAAAAAAAGTGTTATGTAAAAGGGTTATGTGGCCTTCTGTAATATGAATTCAAAGGATTTTAAAGACATAGATGAAGGCATATGGAAAACAGTTTCAGAGAATTTCAGTAAGTGAGTGTTGACCAAGGAGGAATGAAGTTACTGGATACTAGCAACTGTATGTAAACAGGCTCTTGTAGCACTCAGAATCCTGATTCAGCTGAAACCGCACCAAAATTGTGATGTTTAGACACAATAAAAGCCTGTGCGATTAATTTCTTAAATTAAAAGCTTAAGTTAATTGCATAAAAGCTTACCCACAACACCTTTTTGTACCACAAAAGAAAGGGTTCTTTTCTGTAATTGAGATGCATTCAGTGTCTTTTATTTATAAAGGGTAATGCTTTTGTACATCCTATTACAAGGATGAAATACCCAATTTATAAACATTTCACATACTGTATCAGCCTTCTTTTGTCATATAAATATTGGTCTGCCCATGTGGCATGTTATGGGAGAAATTACCCCAAAAAATTAAAAACAGGATTGACATAGATAATCAATTAGATGAAAAAAATTACCTTCAGTGCCAGTGCATTTTACAAAAAAGGGTCATTTATAGAGCATATTAATGGTAATTCATGAGGTAGCCTAATTTGTACAGGTGGGGTGATCGAGTGCTGCCCCTAAAAAAACAGGGAGGTATAGTGAATACAGAAACAGTCAGCATTGCAACTATAGGTCATTTCCAGGACTGAAGAGACACTTTTTCAGATTGGGATTTCAGACAGTATGTTTTATATTGGGATTCTAGTCATCATTTGACTTGTGGGATTTTTTGGATAGCATAGTATAATAATTATCAGTGTTTGATCATTACATATATATGTACTGGTAAAATGCCTTTGGGGGTGTTAGATATCTGTGTTACACCTGTGGCTCCACCCTCCCTCTCTGACTACTACATCACTAGTTTTTCCCTGCAGGAACACACTATAGACATAGTGACCAGAAGAGTAAGGCTACTTTCACACTGAGGAGTTTTTCAAGCATTTTTTCATTAAAAAAAGTGCCTGAAAAGATCAAGAAAACTGCTTCCCTATGTATGTGAATGTATATCTATGTATGTTTTCATACTGAGGCATTGCGCTTGCAGTGTGGTGTAAAAACTTCTGCTTGCAGCATCTTTGGGGCATGTTTGGGGAGTTAAAAAAAACTCATCAAAAACTCCTCTTCCCATTGAAATGAATAATAACTGCTTCAAAAATACTCGAAAAATGCTGCAAAAATGCACCACACGTGGGAAGGTCTGTAAACAGTCACATGTCCAGGATGTAGTGTTGTCAGGATATCTTGTTGAGAGGGAGAAGAAGAAGCACAACATGAAGGGAGAAAGACAGGGCAGAATAGAGGGAGAAAGACAGCAAAGAAATGAGGCCGAGAGGGCAGAATTGAAGGAGAGAGACATCCTAAAACTTTGGAGCCAGAAGAAATTATTCACTCTGTTTGCATGCACCCAGAGTTGTGGGATATCGCCAACAGCAACTATTCCAACAGGCCCAAGAAAATCAAAACCTGGCAGGAAATAGCAAGTCAGCACATCCTGGACTGGAATTAGCTTCACCAATGTGAACAAGAGGAAAGAAGTAAATGCTAGGGTGAGGGTACAGTGTAGGGATAGGGTATTGGGATTAGGATTAACATAGTGCAGGGATAGGGGATTGGGTTTAGCTTAATCCAGAGATAGCGGATTGGGATTAGGATGAGAAAAATGCAGTGATAGGAGATTGGGATTATTTTAGTCTAGAGATAGAGGATTGGGATTAGGATTAGCATAGTGCAAGGATTAGGAATAGGGGATTGGGATTAGTTTAATCCAGAGATAGAGGATTGGGATTAGGATTATCATTGTGCAGGGATTAGGGATGAGAAAAATGCATGGATAGGGGATTGGGATTATTTTAGACCAGAGATAGAGGATTGGGATTAGGATGAGAAAATGTAGGGATAGGGGATTGGGATTATTTTAGACCAGAGATAGAGGATTGGGATTAGGATGAGAAGAATGTAGGGATAGGGGATTGGGATTAGTTTAGTCCAGAGACAGTGGATTGGGATTAGGATTACCATAGTGCAGGGATTAGGGATAGGGGATTGAGATTAGGATTAGCATAGTGAAGGGATTATCTTAATCCAGAGATAGCGGATTGGGATTAGGATGAGAAAAATGCAGGGATAGGGAATTGGGATTAGCAAAGTGCAGGGATTAGTGTTTATGATAATTATTATTGTTATTATTGTGCATTCATTAATTTTCATATACCAAAAAGACAGAGGAAAATCTGAGATAGGACTGTTTTTATTACACAAATGTTAGCAAATATATTGCATTACAAGCAAAACTGAACTGTCATTTCACACATGCTTTTAACTATACAAAATGTATACAACAATAGGCAAACTTAAATCATATCTCTTTGCTAACTCACTTCACCAGCAGGGCTCAAAAAATAATCAGGCAAATGATCCCTTATTAGAAAACCCACTCTTGGATCACGGACATGAGGCCAATCAACAGGTGCTAATGGCTTATGGAAAATCCACCATTTGTTGGCAAGGATGCCAAATACACATTCCACTAGTCTTTGAGCCTGGCAGAGACGATAATTAAATATATTCTCTTTTGGGGATCGAGATTCCGCTGGGAGTATGGCTTCACTAGATGTTCCCCAATATCAAAAGCCTCATCAGCAACAAATACTAATGGCATTTCAGGACTATTTGTACCAGGTAATGGTACATTGTCAGGCAAATCAAGTTTATTCTGAGCTAGACGCTTTCCAGTTTCAAAAAGCTGGAAGACAACAAAGTCTTCACAGCTCCTATATGCCCCAATATTGACAAAAACAAATTTGTAGACTGCATGTACAACAGCCATTAGCACTATTGAAAAGCAGCTTTTCTTAACTATGTCACTGATTGTAGATATTCCACGTCAAAATTCATAATGAAAAGACATGTAGCTGTTTCTTGTAGCCAGATATCTATAAAAATAAAATTTTCCAATTTTGTCATTACAGTTAAAGCTAAAGATGGAAAACAATGCGGGACAATTTTAGAAGGGAATTAAAAAAGCAGAACAATGTCAGAAATGGTTCAAGCAGAAAATCCGCAAAGAAAATTTAATGTCAATACCAATACCAATACTTTTTTCTGAAGCCTATCCTGGAAATGAGAGGATAAGTATAACTAAGGTAATACTACATATATAGATCCCAATGAATTCCAGTTTTTCAGTGTTTCCATTTCTTTTGTTTATTGTTGAAGGACTGACAGTAACCTGGACCCAGAAAGTGATGAACAACTGGATGATACTGAATTTCCTGAAGATTCCCAAAATCCTGCAGATTCACAACATTTTTTGAAGATGAGGATCCTGAGGAAACTTTAGCCCCACCACCCAAGACACAGTCAACAAGTAAAAAAAAAAAAATAGTAATGAGCATTCTCAGCAGTTTGTGGTTAAAAACTGATAGAGACCCAGGGAAGGGACCTGGGTGAAAACAGTTTGTTTGCAAAACGTCTGATACCACAAATGGATTGCGTGGATCCTAATCTCATATGTGAAATGTGGGTGGAGGTCATGCGTGTTGTCCTTTACTTCCAAAAAAGCTCACAAGCCCAATCAATCAATGATGTAAACAATTCTTCACAAAACACACAGAGTGGATGTTGCAATGATCCTAAGCCTTACCAATGTATGCCACAAGGCAACCCATTTCAGATTCAAAATATGTCTTACCCTGCTCCTGTGTCAAGCTATGGCCCAACACTTGCTTGTAATGTTCCTCCAAATTACACAGCATATGACCTTAACCATACACATGTTCAAGGAGGAACATTTGACACTCCTATGTATAGTCACCTCCTATGTATAAGCACCATCCACCTCCTACTCAAGCAAAACCACCACAATCTGGCTTGACCAATTCTGATGCTCCCCCATCATATCACGAGCTGTGAAGTATACTTGTTAACAACTTCAGACTTAGGGCTCACGTACACTGCAGCTGATAAACTCACGTTTAGGATCTGTTCAGCATTTTTTTTCAGCAGCCCCTGAACTCACCCTAATGTTTTCCTATGTGTCCATGTACACATCTTCATTTACAGTTGTTGTTACAGGCATTTGAGTTTACAGTCATTTTTTTGAACGCAGAAAACTTGCATTCAGCAGTCGATTCTATCAGCGTTTCAAACACAAAACGCTTGTAAACGCTTGTAAATGTGTCTAACGCATTTTGTGTTTGAAATTTTTTTTTTTAACTCTTCCAGTTCCCAATGCTGTCCAGAGCCTTTTTTCATAAGGAAAAATGCATGCAAAGCATTTTCAAGGTGCTCAGATGGACAAAACACTGAACAGAGGATGTTCCTACCAAGCTTGTCACACATTGTAATGACCATTTCACACCTCAGACCTTTCCCCCCTTGGAAACAAAAGATATGTTAATGCACATTCACACCTCAAATTCCTCATGAAGAGCCCCTGCCACGTGGTCTTAGTGACTCACTCCACCAGACACCTTTCCCACCCTTGGAAACAAGAAATGATAATGAGCAACTCCCACCTAAGTTAATTTCAACACATACTGCTGTCTCTGCTTCTACTCTGAAACCTTCTGGAGTAGTTAATAATTTACCACTTTGCAGCACATTCTGGGCATTTGGGAGGTTCTCCTGTGCTTATCTTTAAAAACGCTCTAAAAGCAAACGCATATAAACGTGCATAATCGCACATAAATGCATTATGCAAACACGGCTAAACAGAAGTTTTTTACCTACGTTTTCCAGCAGTCAGTTTCCATTGCTCAGAAGAGTCCTGTGTACATGGGGCCTTACCTGTGTTTGAATACCAAAATGTTTATGTTCTAAACTCAGGAGTTGTGAGGTATTAGGTTTTGGAATTCTGAGATCAGGAAATGATAATTTCTACATTACATGTACAGGGTTGCCAATTGTCAGTTCTATATTCCAGGATTGTTGCATCTGACCACTACAGACATGCAGACTGCATATCATACAGACATTCACTAACATATTCAAACATTACTGAATTACATATGTTAATTTACTGACAGTTGGCAACCATGACATTCTGACATATTTTGTAAACTTGAATTTAACAGGACTGGTGAGTTATTACTCGATAGTACATACCTTTTTCTAAATACTTGAATGTTTATTTCTTATGTTGTAAAACAGTGGTCTCCAAACTACAGCCTGGGGGCCAGATGTAGTCCTATGCTGGCTCCTTGTTTAGAAAGTTTGGAGACTTCTGTTCAAAAAAATTGGCCATGGGTGCATTGCCAATGGCATAGTTTTTTTTTTACATTACTTTCAGTGCAAGTGAAAAATATAATTTGTAAGGGTAAAGTGAATTTTGCACATGCCATTTTGTATTGTCTGATGTAAGACAGTTTTAAACGTTGTGTTTGTTACATTTTGTACAAAGAAATGTTTCACATTTTTTAATTTTTTAAGCATTAAAATTTGCTATTACACTTTGGTGGGTTCACTTGTATTTTGAAAATTGAGTAGTTTATTCAATGGGTATCGTTGATTTACAATTACTAGTACTAGTCTTTTCAACATCAATTGTAAATTTACCGGAGAATGATCAGCAAGCATTCATACAGCGGTATTGTATCCCTGCAATTTGTATCCTGTCTCGTCAATGAGGCATCAGAAGATGGAGCATAAAATCAAATCTACAAAAGAAAAAAAAATATCAATTGCAATGACGGCATAACCATGACCCCAGACCCCTGCATCCATATGCTAATGATAATAGGATGCTAACACTGGCCCTAAAAGTAAACATAATCACCCTAATCCATAACCCAAGTACAATGCCAACCCTAATGCCTAACCCTAATCCCAAATACTATCCTAATCCTAGGTACTATGCTAGCCCTAACCCTAATCCCAAGTATTATGCTAACCCTAATACCTAATCCCAAGTACTGTGCTAACCCTAATCCCTAACCCTAATCCCAAGTACTATGCCAACCCCAATCCCTAACCCTAATCCCAAATACTATGCCAACCCTAATGCCAAGTATTATACTAACCCTAATCCCAAGTACTATGCCAATCCCGATCCCTAACCCTAATACCAAGTACTATGTGAACCATAATCCCAAATACTGTGCTAACCCTAATCCCAAGTACTATGCTAACCCTAATCCCTAGTACTATGCTAACCCTAATCCCTAATCCCAAGTACTATGCTAACCCTAATACCTTCTACCACTATGGTAATCCTAATCCATCCCATATAGCCAAGGAGTATGCTCATTTTACCTAAACCAGGGATAGACCACAAAAGACAAAACAAAATTTACAATTTATGTATCAATGTTCATCCGAGTATAATTCCGAAACTTTTCAGGGTGAACTCTCAAGTCTTTGTATAGAGGACTGAATTGCCCTCTTGAGGAGTGTGAACTCAATATGGGATGAACCTATCTATCTTGCTGCCTCCTCTTGAGAAGACATTCCCAATATAGCAGCACAAATATCAACATCAGTGCTGAAAACTCCATTTTCTCCATCCACAAAATAAGGAAGTGAAGAGGAAATGATGTGAAAAGGGGGAGTTTATTCTAATGCTACTGCTTAAAAAAATGCATCAAAAAAGCTATAAAATGCACCATGCATTGCGCTAATTATAACGCAATGCTCCAAAAATGTTAGGCATTTTACAAGCAGTTTTGAGGCGAACCAGTGTGAAAACAGCCTAAGGGACTTGGGTCAGAGTGGTGAAAAGTCGGCATATGACAAAAATGCATATTCCACTGACAGCTGTAGCACTGCAAGACAGCTAATATTGGCTACAAGGGACTCACTACCAAGAAGTAGTATTTTAATGTTTTTTCATTGTCTCGTTTGAAACTAACTAAAATGCAGTACACCTTGCTACTTAACCACTTGCCTACAGGGCACTTATACCCCCTTCCTGCCCAGGCCAGTTTTCAGCTTTCAGTGCTGTCACACTTTGTATGACAATTGTACCCATATGAAATTTTCATCATTTGTTTTGAGACAGATAGAGCTTTCTTTTGGTGGTATTTAATCACATCTGGGTTTTTTATTGTTTGCTAAACAAACCAAAAACAACTGAAAATTTTGAAAAAAAAATGTTTTTTTTTCTTAGATTTTGTTATAAAATTTTGTAAATAAGTGATTTTTCACCTTCACTGATGTGTGCTAATGAGGCTGCAGTGATGGACACTGATAGGCTACACTGATGGGCACTAGTAGGTGGCACAGATGGGCACTAATGAGGAGGCACTAGTAGGTGGCACTGATGGGCATTGACAGGTATCACTGATGGGCACTGAAAGGCAGCATTCATATATGGCACTGATAGGCGACACTGACTGGCACTGTTAGGTGGCACTGACTGGCACTGTTAGGCGGCATGGATAGGCAGCACTGACGAGCACTGATAGGCGGCACTGAAGCGCACTTATAGGTGACACTGACTGGCACTGATAGGTGACACTGACTGGTACTGATAGTTGGCACTTATAGGTGGCACTGACTGGCAGTGATAGGTGGCACTGACTGGCACTGATAGGTGGCACTGAAAGGCAGCTCAGATGGGCACTGATATGTGACAATGATGTGCACTGGTAGGCACTGATATGTGGCATTGATGAGGCACTGATGTGCACTGGCAGGTGGCATTAATGAGCACTGACAGCTGGCATTGATGGGCACTGACGGGTGGCACAGCTGGGGCTACACTGATCATCAGGGACCAGTGATCATCAGTGCCCTGATGATCAGTGTACATGTCCCCTCTGAGGAATGCCGATTACCGGCTCTCCTCTCCTCTTGAGCTGTCAGCATGGCAGCCGTGAGGAGAGAAATGCAGATAACTGGCATTTCCCTATTTACATGCGATCAGCTGTGATTGGACACAGCTGATCACATGACCGAGCCGACATCTTTGGCTCTTTGCATTGATCAGTGATCCGCTGTGTTCGAGGGACACAGCGCACCGCTGATCACCGCGCTGCACGCTCCCGGAGCAGCGCACGCACGGTTAGAGTGGGAGGACGAGAGAACCACCTTGCGCCCATCATTACCTTATATGGCGGGTGGGAGGCGGTTAAATGTGCTTCCCTGAACATTTGTTGATTCTGCAGTGTTTATCTTTAAAGGATAAGTTCACCATCTATCTGTCAGTATATTTTCTTTCCCATACATCCAGTACAGGCAAGCAGATATACTGACAGATCTGCAGGAGACCTGCATGGCACCAGCGATCTGCTGATCGCTGATGCAATGCTTTCTAGGCTCCTGCAGCAAAACATAATAAATGCACACTTTTTTACCTGCATTTTTTTTTTATCAAAATGTGAACTTATCCTTTTAGGGATCATGAATCCTTAAAGTGTATCTATGGTTAAAACTTTTTTTTACACAGAAAAATCTATAAAACAGAATAAAAAAATGTTCAGGGAAGCACATTTTAGTAGCTGAAGAACACCTTGGTAGCAAGATGTACTACTATGCTGGGATTTCTCTTTTTTTATGAGTCGGGCAGGCTCTCTCCATGCTGGGACTCTTTTAGTTTGAGTCATTGGAGGTCATTGGAATGGGGGCCTGTAGCAACACCCATATTGTTTTGAATATTAGGTCACAGCGAAACTTGTTAGTGTTTTGGATAGAGTAAGGAAGAATTTAGGGCATCTGTCAGTTTGTTTTTTGTTTTTTTTTGCTGTGTACCAATAAGAATATTTCCCTTCACTTCCTGTTCTAGAAATTCCTGCTCAAGCATGAATGGAATTCTCCTCTTTGATTGTTGTCCTTATTTGGAAATTTAGGATTTCCCTTTACTTTCTTTTCAGGTGACAACAGTCACATGTAGAAATAGAGGAGTGAATCTCCTCAATGGGGACACAGATGGGAATGATTATGATGTACCACTACCTGAATCCTAGACTTGTTTTGCTATTCTTCTTCTAAGCTTTGAGTTTAATTGGAAGGTCACATGAACCCTACTGATCTCCACGCTCTCTCGTGGACCCCACTTACCTACCGTAAGGATTTCTCCATCCCTAGTGATCTCACTTGACAGACAATTCACTCGTGGGGCTACATTTCATCCAACCTTTAGCCTATCTAAATACATGGGACCTATGACCTCCTTTTTGGGACCCTGGCTCTGCATGTAGCAGGGTTTGGGACCTGGCATAAAGAAGGCCATAGGAGCCTTGCCCAAGCTGTTTGGGCAGACTTGTCCTTAACAACAGCAACTTCTTCCGTGACACCTCTACACAACCCAACATAGTTGCTGCAGAGGCAACAAGCCATGTCATTCAGTATATTCACTCTATCCATTTAATACCAGACATTCTTGCCAAGTTGATGGATTTTGAATCTCTGCTTTTGAAGGAGGACCCCCCAATCCATGTAGTCTCCCTATTACTTGATTCTGAATGCATCTTCCTCTGATCTTCGACCTT